CTTCCAACCCCTCCCAACCCCTCCTAACCCCTCTGCTCACTTCCCCTCCCCTCCCATCTACCCCTCCACTCTTCCAGCCACCCACCCCTCCCCTCCCCCCCTCCATACCCCCTGCAGGTCCCTGACCACGGTCCGCGTGCTGGTCATCAGCCGTAGCGCCTACGCCTCCATAGAGCGCTCCTTCCCCATCGCCAGCCACATTGTGCTGGAAAACCTGAGGCACCACACAGAGCAGGCCGTGGTCCGGGAGTTCCCAGGTGCGTCCCGGATCGCTGGTTTTGGGTTTCAGAAGATCGGGGAGGGGTCGCTTCTGGCAGCAGCGCCGTGCTTCTGCCGGCAGCTCCACCGTGCTACTTCCTGCCGCACGCTCAATGCATCACTATCATCACTGCCTTTTTTGTGCAGAAGCAGACACGCGTTGCCAGCTTGTGTTGCGTATGATGTTCAGGTTGTGCTTGTTTACAATGCACCAATCTGCACATTTACTTGAGAGGATGCGCAACCAATGAGCGTGCGTGGGCACGCTGACGGCCCAACTTGCTTGCAGCATCCCACCCACTATGTCCCTCTGGCTGTGCCACTCCCAATCTACCGCCCTGCTGTGCCCTTTGCACTGTAATGCCTCGCTACCTCCCTCCTAGTGCCAGAATCTCACACACTGTGTTTTGCTCCTCCCCCCACAAAAACATTGTCTCCTTCCCACTGGGTCCCGTGGAACCTCTGCCCCCTGCAATTAGTCCCTCCTCCCTCTGGCCATCCCATGGTGTCCTTCCCACCATCTTCATTTCCCTCCCTGTCCCCCCGCACCCCCAGGCTTCTCCGGGACGTCTGACTTTGCTGACCTCCTGGCCAAGAGCCCCGGCAGCCTGCTCTACTCCTGGGCCTCGCCGGAGCTGGTGGAGCTGATGACTAAACGCGGGGCCAGCGGGCCGGGCGCGGCCAGCGGCCTCAGCATGCGCCAGGTGCGCAAGGGGTCACGCCTGCATTATTTCGCCTCGGATCCACCAAGTGGGTGTGTGTCTGTTCGCGGGTTGTGGCAACGCGCTGCCCGTCGTGGAGCATCCAGTCCTATTCATCACCATTCTGCCTCCAAAGCCCCGCGGATTGCTGCACCGCAACTTTGGACGCGCCACCTCGCGCCCCAACTCACCCCAACGGCCCGCTGCGTCGCCGCACCGCCACTGTGTTGCGCAGGAGCTTGTGATCTCCAACCTCGTGCGCGTCAACACGGTGATCTCTCAGAGCATCAGCAAGCAAGACGAGGACCGCACAACAGAGTTCCTGTGAGGGGGTTTTAAAACTAGAGGGGGGCGCCAACTGGGCAACTAGAGCAGTGCGTGCCCTCCTTTCCTGCAGCGCCTTGTGGCCTTGGCTGCTTGCCTTGCTGACGCTGTAAATGACTGCGTCATCCATGCGCCATCCAACAAAATGACAGCCTCATCGCAGCAAGCAAGATGAGATGGGTTGGGAGCACAGGCCATGCACCCTCATCAACGCCTGCCTTGTCCTCTCACACCTGCAATGTGATGTACCCACCCCCGACCGCCCATCAGCTACGCGGCCGCACGGGGCGACACACGCCAGATGCGGCTGATGATGCAGCAGGGCTTCAACCCCGACTCTGTGGACTACGACGGCCGCACCGCCCTCATGCTGGCCTGCGCGCGGGGGCACCCTGATGTTGTGGCCCTGCTGCTGCAGGCCGGTGAGCCGCGCGCCACTGACAGGGCCTGGTTTTTGTCTGCTGCTGCCTTGAGCTTTTTGTCGTAGCCTTGCAATCGCGTCTGACTGCATCGCGGTTCTTTTCTTCGGTCGGGGTTGATCTTGGCGCCTGGGCAAAAGCCATGCAGGCCAGTGAACATATGCAGGGCGGCCAGCGCGGGCGTGCCCCTCTGCCTTGCCTCCTAAGGCCCACAGCACTCCCATCGTGACCACTCCCATCAGAAGTCACAAGGCCCCTTCGCACCCCCTTACTCCTTGCTGCGCCGCGCTTGCGACAATTGCGCCCGATGCAGGCGCCAACCCACACCTTCACGACAACCTGGGGCGCACCGCGCTGCTGGAGGCCGCGTTCGCCGGCCACGACGGCCTCATATCCGCCCTCGTGCGCGTCGGGGCGAGCGTGGGCGGCAACGCCGGGGACATGAGCGAGGTGGAGGTGGCGGCGCTCCTGTGCAGGTGCGGGCCGCGCCACGTTGTGAGTGGTGGCAGCGCCTGCTGCTGCTGCTGCTGCTGCTGCTGCTGCTGCTGCTGCTGCTCCTGCTGCTGCTGCTGCTGCTGCTGCTGCTGCTGCTGCTGCTGCTGCTGCTGCTGCTGCTGCTGCTGCTGCTGCTGCTGCTGCTGCACCAGAGGGCGCAACGGGGTACTCGCCTTGAAGAGCAAGGCTTCTGTTGGCTGTGACGTGCAGGTTCAGAATTGCATGATTTTCTCGCCTTGTCTCAGCAAGTGTGCATCAACGCAGCCTCTACCTGCACCATCTCAGCCACGAGTTCATGCCCGTGCCGCCCAATCACCCTCGGCTTTTGCCCAATCCCCCCTCCTCAACAGCTGCGTATTTGAGTCAAACCTCCCGCTGCTGCGCCGCTTGATCGAGGCGGGCGCGGACGCCAACAGCGCCGACTACGACGGCCGAACGCCCCTGCACATTGCAGCAGCTGAGGGCAACAGCGTGATCGTCAAGGTGGGCGGGGGGCACAGACAGCCTGAAGCGGCGCGCGGCTCCGCCGCTCTAAGCCGAGTCCCTGTGTCGCCCGCTCGTTGCCCGACATTGGAGCTTGCAGTCTCTGCGAATCCTTGCAGCTGGGGCGTCCGCTTCTCTCCACATTGCCCACATCAGCGGTGGCCCCCTCCTGCTACGTACCAGATGTCATCTAAGGAATGCAAGCACACATGCACGCAAGCACATGTCCATGCACCCCCCGACACACACACACACACATGCTCATGTGTGCACACACATCCTCCCAACAGGTCCTGGTGCAGGAGGGTGGTGCCAAGCTGGACATGAAGGACCGCTGGGGCCACACCGCTGCTGACGAGGCGCGCCGCGTGGGGGACATGCCCGTCTTTGAATACCTGGAGGCACGAGCGCAAGAGCAGCCCGCGCGCGACGCCGCGGCAGCTGCGGAGGTTGAGGAAGCGGCGGCTGCCGCGGCGGCGGCCGCTGCGGCCGGCGTGACGGCTTGGCCGGGCGGGCGGGCGTCTGGCAGCAGCGGCGGCGACATTGAGAGCAGCAATGGCAACGGCAACGGCAGCCGCAACAGCGACGGCGGCAGCAACAGCATTGGGAATGGAAAGAGCAACTCGAAGTACGGCGGCAGCGGCAGCAATGGTAGCAGCGGCGGCGGCAGTGGCGGCAAGAACCGGTTTGTCGATGTGGTGGCTGCGGTGCAAAAAGCGATGGCCAGTGGCGATTCGACCAGCTCTCTATATGACGACATCGAGGTTGCAGAGAGCGCTGCGCCGCAGGCAGCGGCCGACGGCAACGGCAGCGGCGGCGCCGCTGCGGCCGCGGCTGCCGCGGGCGCGAGCGGCAACGGGCGCGGCCTCGGCAGGCGGCCTGGCATCGGCTCGACGGGCCGGCAGCACACGCAGTACGAGCCGGTACATCGGGCAGTGGCGGTTGGGCATGCCTGGTCGGTCGTGCTGCCGCCCTCTGCTCGCGCCACGGCCGCCAACGCGTCGCGGCCGAGCAGCGCGGGCGGCGGCGGCAACGGCAAAGCGGCGGGCGCGGGCCCAAGCGGGGCCGGTGGTGGCGGCGGCCAAGGGGGCGGGCCCCGCGCTGGAGGGGGCAAGGGATAATCCTCCCGCTGTGGGCGCGGTGCCGCACGCCGCTGTTGAACCTGCCGGCACGTAGGCCGCCAATGTGTTCGCTGCTTGCCTCTTTGCCAACGTTGGGCGGGGCCGTTGCGCCCTCTGTTGCATTTCGTTGCCGAAGGCCGCCTGTTGCTGGCCTCGCGAATCAGGATGACAACCCCTTCTGACAATCCAAGATGCTCCAACAGCTGAAGAAGCAGGAATGGCCGAGGTGCGCCCAGGCATGGGCTGCCGCCAAGAAGCGGGTGTGCCAAGGGCAGCGCCGCCCCGCCGATGCGCGTTACAAGATGGGCGCGGCATGTTGATGTTCTGGGCCGCTCGTATGCGTGCCGGCTGCTGCAGCCGCCGTGCAGGCATGCCTGCACAGGCCGCCTGTGCAGGCGGAGCCAGCGCATGGTTTGTGAGCCGGACAACACATGGCGGTGCCTTGCAAGCTGCTCACTGACAGAGTTGGCGGCGCAGCTGCGTCGCATAATCGCCACTCGCATGTATGTGGGCGTGTATATGTGCAAGTGCGCAAGTGCGTGTGCGCGTGTGTGCACGTGTGTGTGTGTGTGTGTGTGTGCGTGTGTGTGTGTGTGTGTGTGTGTGTTGCCAGGCCACTCTGGCATGTGCATCCTGCATCTTGTCAGGCAAACACTTCCGCTAATGCCCACACGCCTTCTATTGGTTGAGGATTTTTGCTGTCGCTTGTCCCGAAGCATCCCATATATACGCTTACAGCAGGGTTTGTTTGAGTCACGCGCATGGTCCCCCCCATACAATGCTTGTCCCCTCGCACACACTGTTTGTCCATAATCATACATCCGCATCTCCATGGCGGGGTCTGTTGTGTCAGAACGGGCGCCGACAACGCGCCGACCGTGCACGTGCCGAGTCGCTCGCAAGCCGGCAAGCGGCTGCGACAGGCGCCTGGCGCGCAGCTCCTTGATGGATCAGCCGTGGCTTACACGGAGAAATGGTGCGCCAACCCTCCGCTGCATAGAGGCAGTGCCTGCGCTGCATTGCCAGGCCTGCCTGGTTGCCCTCTCGTGCAACACGGGACTGCATCAACACATCAGAGTGATGTGCACGCCACAATTCCATACGCAAGGGCGCGCACGCTGTTTGTTATGTCGCTTGTACTCGTGTGGTACTGTCTTGCTCAGACGGGCGACCGCTCGAAACCGTCCACCCTCGTTCGTGGCTGTTCGTGGCAACACTGCAGTGTAATATATGCACAGCGTCAACATGGTGACGGCGCCGCACTTTCAACACGTGCTTTGGGTGCAGGTCCATAAAGGGGGGTTGATGCCTTAAGTTACAACGACGGCTCTCACAGACCAGCGCTTCCTCGCGGTCCGCCACGACTATTGATTGCCGGTCCGCGCCCCGTGTCAGCTGCCGCCAGCCGCCCCCGCCACGCGTTTTTGGAGCTTCATGATCTGCGGGGCGTGCGGGCAGAAAAGGCAGAGAGAGGTTGGGCAAGCACACGCGCCACACAGCTTGGCGGCCCGCCTGCACCTCCCTGGGGCGCGGGCCCTCGGGTGAGCGGCTGCCTGCTGTTGTAAGAGAGGTTCGCAGCAGTGCCCCGCAGCCGGTGGCCCGTTCCAATGGTCGCCCACCCCGGCTGCGTCTCTCTCACTAACACCAGATGCGTGCTGGCAGTGCCTAGCAAACTGCCGGGCCCCAACCCTGAGTCGCGGACCCTGTTGATGTGCTACGCCCAGCAACCCCAGCCCCAACCAGCGTCCAATCAAACCCCGCACTCATCCCGAACCCCTTCCAGGCTTAGCACGAGCCCTCTGGCCTCCCCTTCTGCTTCATTCCCCCCCCCCCGACACGCCAAGCGTGACAGCCTCTTCCTCCCCAAGCTCGCAGCAAACACAGCGCCAATCAGCGCTCCCCAGAGACAGCGCCCTGCCAGCAGCGACGGAGGCCGCGTGCAGGATCCATGCACCTCAGGCCCCCTGAAGAAAGCCGCACCTCCTGCTGCCGCGCCGACCCCTTGTCCTGCAGCGACTTGATCTGCGCGTCGACGCGCGCCATCTCGCCCCTGATGTACTCCAGCCGCTTGTTCACGTTGGCGCGCGCCTCGGTGAGGTCCTGGTGGGGGTTAGTAAGGTGTGGGTGACACAGGGGTGCGCAACGGGTGATCATCAAGCAAACAGAAGTTGCGACGGCGGCATTCAAGCCACTGCAAAATGTGGTGGTCTTTGAGCAGCCACTGCGTTGACGTTCAAGGCTGTGGCTTGGACGGCAGCGTGGCAGGCTGCTGCTCGCCCGGGCGCTGCGTTGTCTGGGAGAGGCGCGCTGCATTGAGAGGGGTCGCGGCGTATGGGCCGCGCCTGCTTGATGAGGGCCGGCCCTATGAGCTTGAAAACATTTGAGTCCTCATCCAGCCGCCCCAGCTCCTGAGATTGTGTGCGAGGGTTCGCAGGGTTGAGGGCATGGGGAATAGGGTGGAGCAGGGGAAATTCGATCAGAGCCCCTGATGGCCCCAAGCGGCAGGCAGGCAGCTGAGACGTGCAGCTACCCTTCGCCACTGCTCTGTGACTGCTTTCAATGTTGCATGAGCCTTGCTGGTCACCCTGCCACCAGGGCTTGCAGGGTCTGGTGTTGACTGGATGCAAGCGCAGTCCAAGGGGGGTCCACCACCAAAACCGCACCTCGATCACCATTTCGTTCTCATTGCTTTGGGACAGCAGCTGCGCCTTGGCCTGCATGGTCTTCTGCATATCTGCATGCTCAAGGACGGCGCACACCGCATGAGAGGCCTGCGGTGCATGCTAACGGGAAGACGCGCCAGTGCGCAGCGGCCTGCCGTCAGCAACCGTGCTGCGCACCTCTCTGCACCTCCCGAAACGCCTCCACTTCCCGCTCCAGCTGTCGCTGCAGCTCTGTCATTCCTTTGATGCTGATCTGGGCGTCTGAAATGGCACCCTGGGCGGCTGACTTGTTACAGATCAGCTAGATCGTGAGCGCGAAAATTTTACAATGCTTGTGCTTTCGATAGGAGTAAGATTGCAAAGCGATTCTACCAACTTGCACATAACAAATCCTTGCCTACACCAAGCGGCATGGACCCGACTCACCCGACGATCTCCTCCCTGGCCACGTACGCAAGTCAGCTGTGCTGTATGATACATCACAGCCGGCAGGGGTACCATATAGTTATTCACGCGGGAGTATTCTGTCTTTTGTTCAGTTGCAACATCAGGACAGTCTGCAATCGACACACGAGCTGTGCCCTGCACGGGACATTGGCCAGTGTCACACGTGGGCCTACGAAAAATGGATTTGAACGCTAGTGATCAAGGCGGGACCCTGGCGGCCATGCCCGCCGACCTCCGGGTATGCTGCAATCAATGAACGCGTTGGCTTGCATTGCTGCTGATGCGCACGCGTCTGGCGCATCCCCTGCCCGCAACAAGATCCAAAGCACGCCATTCCTGCCCAATTGCAGCTGAGAATGAGCAAGAAAATTGCACAGCTCACCAAGGTGTGCAACATACCCAGTCAAACCTTGGTCAACACGCAACACCTTGTGTCACTCCCGCACCCCGCCGCTGCGGCGCACCCTGCACCAGCACCAGTTGAGCAGCCGCCCCCCTACACTGATCACCAGGTGATATACCACCTCAACAACCGCAATGAGGACTACGAGTTCGAGCTGCAGGAGCTGGCAGAGCGCTGCGAGTCAGAGGCGGCGGCAGCAAGGACGGACGCCGCAGCCAAGTTGGCGCTGGCGCGGCAGCAGCTGCAGGAGGCAACGGAGGAGGCCAAGGCAAGAGGATGCATGCTTGCTTCAAAGAGATGAAACAGCATTCTTGGAAGGCAGCAGTCGCGTTGTTGGGCCCACACCCACGTGGCCTAGGTACACATCTCGTCAAGCTTAGGCACCCTCAGGTGTGCGAGCCGGCCCTGGACTGCTTTTTTGCTCATATATGCACTCAGCATGCTGGCCTTGTGCGGCGCACTGCAGGCGCGTGATGCTCGGCACCGCGAAGAGCTCGCAGCAGCCGCCGCGCAGCGCGAAGCCGCGCGGCGGCAGGCGTTTGAGCGCGAGGGCGCGCTGCGAGGCGAGGCCGCGCGCGCGGGCGGCGAGGCGGCGCGCGAGCGCGCGCGGGCGGAAGCGCTGGAGCAGCAGCTAGCAGAAGGCCGGGCGGAGGCCGAGCGTGGCGCACGTGAGGCGGCCGCGCAAGCAGAGGTAAGCAGCGCGTTGCGCGGTGTGTCAACTGTAAGGTGTGATTGCACGCAGCGCCCCGGCTGGGAGTTTCGCAGCCTGCTCCTTTCCTTTTGGTTCAAATATCACATCTAAACGCAGACCTGCGGCGCTTGACAATTGATGAGTAATCTGGCAACGTTACCCCGTCAGGTGCTGCAAAGAGCCCTGCTGCTGGCGCAGTCCGAGGCGGCAGCCACGGCGGCCGAGGCGGGGCAGCAGCGTGCCGAGGAGCTTTCGGCGTGGCAGACGGCGGAGGCATCCCTCAAGGCCCAGCTGCAGCTGGTGGGTGGAGGCATGTTGCCTGCGCTCTGCCGCTCCAGCACAGCTGAGCACCCCAGTGCGTGGCTGGGTTTGCATGCTCGTGGTGATGTGAAGTGGACGAGATTGCACTCGGCCGGCTGCAGCGTCAAGCATATGCCCCTGTCACATATGGCAGGCGGAGGCCACTGCCGCTGCGCTCCAGTCCGAGAAGAGCGATGCGCTGCAGCAGCTGGCTGCCGACACCGCCGCCTTTGCAGCAGAGCGCGACGCCCTGCGCGCCGCGGCGGCCGCCGACGCGCGCGCGGCGGAGGCGGCGGCGGCGCGGCAGGCGGCGGAGTTGGAGGGCCTGAGGAGGGAAGCTGCGGTGGAGCAGGAGGGCAGAGTCGCGGGGGCGGCGCACGCGGCGGCGGCCGAGGCGCGCGCACGGGAGCTGGAGGGGCGGCTCAATGCGGAGCGGGCGGCACGCGAGGCGGTAGAGGACGGGCTGCGGCGGGCGACGGCGGGGCTGGAGGCGAGCGGCAGTGACTTGCAGACGTGAGCGATGCATTGCAGGCGCGCGCATGCGCATGCTGTGCTATGTTAGGGTTTGGAAACACACGCCTGCCGGAAGCGCGTCGCAGCCAGCGTGGCACGGCGCGTGCTTGTGCGTGCTCGTGCAAAGGAGCCCAGGCATTCACATTGATTATTGCACCGAATCCTACCTGAAACAGGGCATCACTCGAGCTCCAGCGGCTGCGCGCCGCCGCCACCGCCGAGGCCGCATCGCTCCGCGCCCAGTCCGCGGACTACAAGGCACGCGCCGCTGACCTGGAAGCACAGCTTGTGTCCGCGCGCGCCGCGGCGGCTGTGCAGGGGGAGGAGCGGCGGCGGCTGGAGCAGCGGCTGGGCAGCCTGACCGCTGAGCTGGCGCAGGCGATGGAGGAGCTGGGGGAAGCTAGGGATGAGGCTGAGCGGCGGGCTGCTGCCGCGGCCGCAGAGGCAGAGCGGGCGGCGGCGGCGCTGGCCGGCGCGTCCGCGCGGGCGCGGCAGCTTGAGGGGGCGCTAGCGGCGGCCGAGGCCGACGGCCGCAGCGGGGCGGCCGACGCGGCGGCGCGTGCTGCGGCGGGCGCGCGGGCCGAGGC